CAGTTTTTGTCACCCTCAAACACATGAAATGGGAACGGGTCAAAAGAGGGGGATCCTGAAACATTATGTGCTGATTGATCAAAAACATGTGGGATTACCTTATTTGAATCTGAAATATGTCCATTACACTGCTTTTCAAACTTTCATACTTAGAACTTATGACTCAGGACAACCACTCACCCAGTTTGGCAACAAGTGCTGTGCGAGATTCTCGCTCTTATTGATACTATGTATGGCACTGTCGATACATTGGGTGGTAGCATGGCTGCATGTTTGATTGTAGATTGTACCCGTGCTATGGTTCAACCATGACCACTTTAGGTTGCAGCCAGGAAACCATTCAAACGGCTTTGCAGGTAGAACAGCCATCTTCCTCTCGCCTCATTGACATGCCGTACTTGCGGCTTCTGATTGACTCAGCCTATGCCCAGGGAAATGTGATGTTTCGCAGGTTGTTTCTTGGCATCCCTTGAAAAAGTCAACGTGTCTTGACGTTGACAGTCCAATGCTTTATCCCTTCCTATCATCAAGAATTCCAATGTGCTAAGCTGGCTTGGACTTCATGGACATCTATGTCCTAAGCCGAGTTGGCTTCTGGGTACACCGTCAGGGGCTCATTTATTGAGTCAGGCAATCCGGCAGTGAATCCAAAACATGATCGCTAGCACATTAACACATATCCAGAATATGTTTTTGAGTATACGCATTTTACAACTTGCACCCATGGTTGTACTTGAAAAGGGCCATTGACGACACTAAGGGGATTAGTTCAATGAAAAAAAAATTGGGGCCATAGAGACAATTAATGTATCTGTCCACAACTGCTGCTTCTTCAGGAGCTGGATTCTCGAGTTGGAGGGTGTCATGACAAGTGAGAAACGCCAGCAACTGCGTCGCGAACGGGAGGAGCAGGATATAGAAATGGTACGTTGTTATGAGGATGCATCTGGTCGTACCAGGGTGTGACTTGTTTGAATTGGTCATGGGTCTAGGGGACACCAAGAACATCCAGTGTTCGCTGAAAGATCTCCACTATCATCATTTATAATGTTCGGGGTATTTATTTGAATGTTGGTGACTAAGATACGTAAATTAATTGGGGTAATTGGACTACACAGTTTACTACATTGAACCAACTATGACTTAGTTGAACTTATTTTTACCTACAAAAAACCTACGCGGTTGGTGATGAATCAACTGTCTTTTGTTAGAACCTATTGAATTATGTTCATGTTGCAAAGAGTGACCTGGAGACCCTTTGTTGGGATGAAAAACAGGTTCCTCAGGTCACTTGTTCAAAGCTAGTTCAAAATGTACAATTGCCCAACATAGCTTGCCGATAGGAAGAAACCACAGATTGAAGAAGAAAAGAATAAACAATAGACAGAAAGCAGATAGAAAAACAAACAGCTAGGAACAATGAGAGGCACATACATACCATACATACCAACATACATTAATTTAATATGCCTACGTACCTACGTACCTACATACCTACCTACATACCCCCATACATACATTCATTCATACATACATACATACATTACATACATATACATACGCATGCACATACATATACATTTACATTTACATATGCATATACATATTATACATATACATATACATATACATTGTACATATACATATACATACACATACACATACATACATACATCCATCCATCCATCCATCCATGCATACATACATACATACATACATATATACAATATATATACAATATATACAATATATAGAATATAAACAATATATACAAAATATACAAAATATACAGTATATATGTATACATGCATACATACATACATACATACATACATACATACATACATACATACATACATACACATACATTTTACATATATAGACAATATATAATAGATATAGATATATATATATATATATATTACACATATATTTACATATATACATATATATATACATACATACTTACTTACATACATACATACGTACATACGTACATACATTACTTACTTACTTACATACATACATACATACATACATTACTTACTGACATACATACATACATTACTTTCTGACACACATACATACATACACATCCATACATCCATACATCCATACATCCATACATCCATACATACAGACATACATACATACATACGTACACACATACATACATACATACATACATACATACATACATACATACATACATACATACATACATACATGCATACGTACATACATACATACATACATACATACATACATACATACATACATACATACATACATACATACATACATACATACATACATACATACATACATACATACATACATACATACATACATACATACATACAACATACATACATACATACATACATACATACATACATACATACATACATACATACATACATACATACATACATACATACTACATACATACATACATACATACATACATACATACATACATACATACATACATACATACATACATACATACATACATACATACATACATACATACATACATACATACATACATTACATACATTACATACGTACATACACACATACACACATACACACTACACACATACACACATACACATACACATATACATACACATACACATGCATACATGTACAAACATACAGACAGACATACAGACAGACAAACATATAAACATATGCACCTAGCTACATACGTCATAAAACCTTCCATTATAATAATAAAAGAAATGTTTTCAGAAAAAAAAACATGCACAAATACAATCACAACACTCACAAAGTCAGGGTGAGGAAGTAATCGGTCTGCTTGACTCATCTTGTGGTCGTGTTGCCACACCTGGTTGGGCCTTTGCTGCTAGCTACAGCTTCATCAGGCTCACGAAATCCCGGCACTTGTGTGGCCGATGCCAGGGAGTGTCCAGCAGGTTTGCCATCACAGTGTCGGTGGGGAAGATCACGAGGTTTGGCCAGGGATCTGTGCACTGATTGTCGGTGATTCACACCATGCACAGTGTTTTCCCAAGTCAAGCGGTTAATCATCTTTCCAAAGCATCAGCCCAATCCAAGTTCTTTGCGACAATTCAATAGACCTATCATCTAAGTAAATTCTGAATTGTCTTCTTTAGACCAAACCCTACCAATCAAATCTTGAATTTTCCTTTCTCATCCAAACCTATCTTGACTAAATCCTTATAGGTTGTCCTATTGAACCCAAACCTCCTTCCATCCAAATCTGTTGCCAAGGTGCGGAGGCAAGGATATGAAGATGTCTGCTCATTACCCAGAAGCTTTCGCAGAGTTGATAGCAGATCTGCATGTGGCTGCAGTGGCTCGGCTTCAAAGAGTGTGGTACTCCAGCATTGCGTATTATGTGTTTGTATACATATATATATATTATTGAACAATTCATGTATATGCATATATATATATATATGGTTGTCCAGTAACGACAGTAGCAACTGATGATGTCAGCTCCCCTGGCAGCAAACACTTGGTGATGTAAAACTGATGCATATATTATTTTTATTATTTTTATTATTATTATATATATATATATATTTGTGGGTATACAAAGCCTTTAGTACAAATGCTCGTATTTTGAGGTGAAAGCCAACCACCTCCCGCATCTGGAGATCAACATGAAGGACTGGGAAAACCTAACGCCTTTGGATCCTCGGCTTTATTTATACGGAGGGATTTTTTGGCTACTACGTTCAATCAGCTAAACATGTGAAAGATATGTCAGTTCCTTATTACAAAGAAGTTGGCATTAGACATTCTGAATGTATGGAATGTGGGGGTGCCAGATAAACTGACACCCTTGCAGTTTCAATTCCCACATTAAATGCACCTTTTCCCCAGCCCTCACTTCAAGGTACCTCCTTTTGAATGGAGCCACGCTGATCTTGGTCCTCTCCGGGCTTTCCTGCGGGCCGAGCAGCAGCGTGGTCACTTTATCCCTGTGTCCAACCTTCCACTTTGACACCGTAGATAGCAGGATTCAGGGATGGTAGCTACAGTAATTCATGGCCTCAATGTTGAAATGAATAGAATCTTTTTTGGCCTCACTAGCAACTGCCGTGTACAGTTCATAGCGTTTCCGATGGACCCCTTGGTGGTCAAAGACATTGGTCAAATAGGCGCTGTGGACACAATTCAATTGAATTAATATGTGTCCTTCGTGATTCCATGCCTCTACAACCTGAAGGGGATTGTGGGGAAGTGTGGGACCCTGGCTTGCCAAAAAAAAAGTTGAAATGTGCAGTGACAAGTTGCAAACAACGTGCAAACATCCAGTGATCACGCAACAGATTATGATCACATGACATGCTTTTCTCCAAGCACAGCTGTGTGCTGGCATGTAGTGAGTTCCCCCAAGCACAAAACATCTAAATTGGGTACACGATCATATTTGGATGATCCAGTTGGATTTAGATTTTACTTATATTTTTTCAAACGGACAAACTTTGGACAACATTCGATCTGGCACCTACACGTGACGCCGCGTGACTCCGCGTGACTCCGCGTGACTCCGCGTGACTGCTTCTATGAATGTAGCCAAATTTTAAGTACATTGGGCCAAATGTATGCAAAAATTGAATACATTCACGGACCCTCGAGTGACTCCGCGTGACTCCGCGTGACTGCGCGTGACACCGCGTGACACCGCGTGATGCAGCTTGACTTAACGCGTTCAAACTCAAATGATTGTTAAAAAACAAGCTACAACATAATACCGTGTATATATATATAGCATGATGTGCTGAGCTTTTCTTGCACTAGCGATTTGGCTTCAAACTTTGGGTATCTTCTGTTTTACAGATCTGCCTCCTTGCAATGGCAGATCTTGGAGCTGAATGTGATATGGAGAAGGCTATGGCTCATCCATCGCCCTAAGCAACAAGTAAAGGTTCACAATTTTGGGGTGGAAACCTTTCCTTCACAACCACAAACTAATTTTGACGATCTGTCAGATGGTCATGTTCCCCACACTTCCCTTCATGTCCTCTTCTGGACAGGTTGTCGCAGCAGCCTTGGGTGCAGCGCAGCATCGCCGAGAACGGATTGAGATGCTTTCTCAAAAAACCCCGGGGTCGAATCGCAGTAGTGCCACCAAACGAAAGACAAACCCCAGACACGACGCACATGGTGAAGGAAGTGTCACAACTACTGCTCCCAGTTCTACACCTTCAGAGAAAGTTACACCTGATCCCAAGCATGTTCGTACCGATGTACCAGAGCCCAAAGTTTTGTTTGGTTCGCCTGATGACCACTGTGCTGATGGGTGTGACAAAACAGGAGGTTGGAATTGGAAACATGTTCAGCATGTCAAAGCTTAATGTATGTAATGTAATGTAATGTAATGTAGTGTAGTGTAATGTAATGTAATGTAATGTAATTTATAATGTAATGTAATGTACTGTAAGGTAATGTAAGGTAATGTAAGGTAATGTAAGGTAATGTAAGGTAATGTATGATAGTGTAATGTAATGTAATGTAACGTAATGTAATGTAATGTAAAGTAAATGTAATGTAAAGTAAAGTAAAGTAAATGTAATGTAATGTATGTATGTATGTATGTATGTATATATGTATATATGTATATATCACCATCATCATCATCATTATGTTAGTTTTCAAATTAGCAAAACATCATTCCATCTGCTAAATGTTTGGATTCAGGGGATCAATTTGCTATACCCTGTAGGTGCTGAACTTCGACGGGGTTTGAGCAGTTTGTCAACAGTACCTGCTACCGAAGAGGAGCTACATGCTGCTCAGGTGACTTGATGGTCTATTTATATATATATGTGTATTTATTTATTTTTGTATATATATATATATTTATTATGTATATGTATATATATATATATATGTGTGTATATTATATATATATATGGACATAGCTATGTAACATGGTATAGTTTCATTGTGTATAATTATGAGATAAATAAATAAATATATATATATATATATATAATTATTGAACTTTCAGTGCCATACGTCTTGTCAATTTCCTGGCTTAGATTTACATTGGCTTAGGCCAAGTGGTCCAAGCCAGACGTCCCCCCGTTGCCGAAGTTTGGTGGCTTATCTCTTCAACCAGATGCGCCTCACCTGGTTGATTGCACTTACATGCAAATGCACATCCAGATGCACATGCAGGATTTGTGTGTATATATATGTAGAAAGAAACAGCTTCAAAGTTTCAAATCGACCATACAAGGTAAACTCTCAATATCGTGTGCCTAGATGTGTTCGACAATGAATGTGTTGTTTCAAATGCCTAGGTGCAGCATGCTTTGAGCATTCTAGCTGCCAACCCAATCCTGTCAGCGAACCCAGAATGCTTGGGTGACTTTGTGAAGGCTTTAGTGCAACCTGATATGCAACAAGTGCCTACACCGATGCAGGTGGAAACCGGAAACCTGACAGGCAAGACTCCTGAAAACCTGACCCAGCCAGCAGGGAGTGAAGACAGTGAGACGGCCCTGGCAGCTCGGAAGGCATTCTGGTCAAAGTTCAAGCGACCAGCTGAGAGTGGGGGGGACGAGGGACGTGGTACTGTTCTGTTGACGCAACCTACGTTGATCCTTGGGGACGAGTCAAGCCAAGACCAGCATGGTGATGAAACGACATCACCTCCAGCAGATTCTGCAGCCGTTCATGACCCTGTTGTGGCAACAGCAGCAGTTGAGCCAAAGATGACCCCCCAGGTTCCAGCAGTTGAGCCACAGATGACCCCCCAGGTTCCAGCAGTTGAGCCACAGATGACCCCCCAGGTTCCAGCAGTTGAGCCACAGGTGACACCCCAGGTTCCAGCAGTTGAGCCAAAGGTGACACCCCAGGTTTTAGCAGTTGAGCCAAAGGTGACACCTGAGGTTCCGGCAGTGGTTGAAGCAGTGGAGGTACCCAATGATGATCAACCAAAGGAAAACCCGACTCGAATTAGGTTTTCAAAGATGGATGAACTTGGGCTCGTGATGAAACTTGACGAGGCGAAGATGAACCCCCAGTTTGAAACCTTTCTCAATGAGATGAAGCTTACACCTGAATTCTTTGGAGCTGACATGATCGAAGATCTGATCAGCTTCCATGAGTGGCTTGGTGATCCCGAGAGAGCTGCTGCTTCTGCACCGGTTCCTGAACCTGCAACCCCTCTACCTACCACTGAACCAGCAGCCCCTGCCCATGCCCCATCTAGCAGTGAACCGCCAACAACTGCCTTGGAGAAAGCACAACCTGATGTTCCTGCAACCCCACCACCTCCCAGGCAAACAGGTGACAGTAGTGTTGCTGCGGCGCTGAAACGTTTGCAAACTGTGGACCTGAAGGATGGCTGCCGCCCTCCGCAGACCCTTGCACAACTTGGGAATCCTGTGGTCCCTGACCTTACAGTGGTGATTATGAAGTTGAATGGGGTTGAACAACCTGTCTCCTTGCCTTTGACCCCTCAGCAATGTATTGCTGCTGGTCTCCAGTTGGCCAACCCCCCCCATGGCGATGATCAGACAGCTGATGGTGTCGATGGTTCTACGGCTGATGATGACGTGGATGGAACTCCAGTCGAAGATGATCGTCATGACAAGGAGACTCTAGAATTGGATGAAATGATCATGATGATCCGATGACCAGTACAGCCTACACAAGTGTCCTAGTTCTTGTTTTTTTGCTGCAGGAAATGAGTAACAAACAAATGCTGAAGAACCTGTACATGCGCTTTAGTCGCAGCCAAAAGCGCGGCCCCGCTGCAATAGCAGAAAGCAAACAATCCAGCAAAATCCAGCATATGGGACAGTTTTGGCATGCAAAAGTGCTTGCAACTTAGGTGCTGACCTGCCAAAGGAAATCCAAGAAAGGTTTCAAGCCCTGAAGGCGAAGGAAAAGGAACTTGGAGACCCACCTGCACCTATCCTCTGTTTGCTTTTGAGAATCCTGGGACGTCACATTTGATCATCATGGAAGCCTATACCAGTTCCTCAGGAACACATGCTCCCTCAGTCCGAAAAGATCGTCAACAGCTCTTTGAAGAGTTTATGCAAGCGGGGGAAGATTGGGCTGCTTCCTCTGTTGTTGTCAACAGCAGGTCGTCCCACAATGAGAAACAAAGAGGTATTTACAAAATGTTCAGCCGTGAAGAACCTTATCCGCAACCTGGTTGCTGTTAAATATATGTATGCGCATTTACAAAACTTGACCTGGGTAAATAAACACTGGGTGGTGAGGACCTCTTGGCCAAGTACCACAACAATGTTGCCCTAGTAGATGAACTGATCAAAATGAAGGAGACAAGTTTTGTCGTGCGCTCCACTTTCTACTCTTAAAATTCGTTGTTTCACATTTCTTTCCACCCATAATAAGCATTCCTCATGCAGGAGGAGCTCAAAGACTATCAGGTGAACCCAGACATACCAACGATGCGGCTTTACAAGTGCTGGGATTCCTCAGCTGTGATTTCTGAAGACGAACAGTCCCGCTCTACCAATGTGGCAAGGGAAGGAGCGATCTCAGCCAGTCAGGCTACTTCGTTGATGTTTGAATCCTAGTTCACAGAAAAGATTTGCAATTTTATGCTGTGAATTGCATACCCTAAATAGGATCCATGTATGGTATATATGCTAACATTTGTGGTATATATATTGATGGTAAATGTTACCATATATATATATATAGCATACATGGATCCTATATATGGGTAACTATATTCCTAGGTTTCCTTTGTGTTGCTTCCTTAGGCAGAACCCTGCTTCTATCGACCCGACCTTCTCTGGACACCTGGGTGGGCAAGGTGAAGCTAACAGGGAACATGGGGACCAACCTGGACAGAAGTGCAAAGCAAAGGCGAAGCCAAAGCCCAAGGCGACCGCTGAGAAGGAGGGAAAAGTACCAAAGGTGAAAACGGCAGGACAAGAAGCAAAGGCTGTACTTGGGATTTATTTCAACTGGTACTGAAGTAAATGTTGTTGTTTTGATTTGTAAATTCAAAATGCAAATCTATACGTTACTGAGGCAATGGCAACTGCCAGCGGTTTGATTCTTGAAGGCGAAGGTCCCTTACCTTTATTGGTGCTTAAGTTTACAGGTGGTTCCCCATGGTTTCCCATCATTTTTTTCTTTATGTCCTAGGCTGGAACCAGAAGCTCGTGGCAGCGAATGTGTCACGCCCTTATCACAAAACAATTGTTCCTTTTATTATTTAATTTGTTTCTAGCTCTTGTGGCCTAGGACGGACCAACTTCGTGAGGCAGTGGTCAAAGATTTGGCCACTATCATCTCCAAGTTGAAAGCTGCCCGAAACAATGTGGAGGCTAGGTCGTGGCACCCTGTTTCCACTAGTGTTCTCATTTTTTTTGATTATGCCTCACATTGCCTTTCCTGCACCCAACATGTATATCTACATACACAACATATATTATATATTTTTCATAACAACATCCATAGCTATAGTTATACGGTTTATCATTCCTTCTTAAAATCTAATGTAACCCTTCTTCTAGCCATGCCAGGGAACGGTGGCACGTGGAGCACCCGACAGTGAGCTATCTACGACTGTCCAGGCTTTGGCCATGGCCATCGCGGACTACAAGCAGGGCGTTAAATCGGCCAAGGGACTTGTGAACCAGAACAAGCCCAAAGCGAAAGCCAGTGCAAAATCTTCGGCCATTCCACCCAGCTCCTGAAATGGATTTTGCTGATGACTGGTGGATGATGGCAAGGAAATACCCTGCCACCATAGATTGCCCCGGGATTCTTGTGACCAGGCACAAACATATATATATATATAGTATTTTAAATATTATATATATATATATATATATTTATAAATTGTCTTGAAAAATATCCATCATTTCAAACTTGTTGCTTCTTGAATTTCGAGCCTGGAGGCAAGAGGTGGTTTGGGACTGTTTTTGGGAATCGGAAAAGGCCAGCTGGTTTTGTCAAACCGGCCTTGGCCCGTGCTCACGATATGGAGCAAAACATAGTGGAAAAGACTTAGTGGAAACCTAGCAGCATGGGGGCCCAACAAATTGAGCAACACTAGCCAGCACCCATTTCAAGATAAGAAAAAACAAATTGAAACTTCTCTGGCGTCCTATTTATATATATATAAAAGTAACTTATATTGTTGATTGATTCTTTTTGGAAATTGTTGGATGGCCCGTGCATCTGGGCAGCTTGAAGCTTTGCCAGCCGGCAATGACAGCTTGCATCTATACCAACTGACGATGGGTGAAAAAATCAAGCTGACCTGATGCGATCATGTAGTCAATTAATTGTTGACATGGTGGGTTGGATTACCATCAACACAAAACGCAATAGCCCCACAAATGCCAATGAAATTCAACATTAATCGTGGTTGTGACGTGGATTAGCACCTGGAGTTTCCAACTCAGTTCATTGATGTACCAAATCAAACAAAATCAACAAATCGACTCCTTGGTGGGATATCCCAAACATGAATGGCCTAAGCTGTTGATCATAATCAGCCCTTGGTCAACAAATCTCATCCAACCTCCTGTCCTGCACTCCTCGCAGATATCACGTTCGCAGAGCACTTGCTGAGTTCCCTTGGCCGTGGTGTGGCTTGCTGGCATGCAACCAGGGATAAAGGGTTGGCAGGGCAGGGTGAATGCATTTTCAATTATATATATATACACATACTAGTAATATATATATATATGTATTAGCTAATTATATACGAACTTGTTCTACACACACACATACATACATACATACGTACGTACGTACATACATACATACATACATGCATACAGGATCCATGTATGGTATATATGCTAACACTGGGGGTCTATTGATGGTAAATGTTACCATATATATATATAGCATACATGCATCCTATATTTGGGATACATACATATTATACATACATATATATATATACATACATACATAAATATATATATATATGAGCTCATATATATATATATATATTTATTAATTTATTTACTTATCTGGTTCATCTTTACGATATACATAATGGAAAAACAAAAACTGTTTTACGATTCCACGATCTTTTGGGGAAATGGGTGAAAACAGAAGCAACATGATCCAAGGCGAGTTCGTGCTTGGATTTACAGAAGGCGGCTGAAGCCTGTGTTCAGGAGATCAGCCAAAAGTTGTTTGGTCAGATTTACCCATACAAATCCACCCACTTATTAGACTTGATTCCTGTTAATTTGTATGGGGCCTACTTGGAAGTTTAAATTTTTATGTTGTTTTTTCAATGTGCAGGAGTCCAAAGGCACATGTTCGCAGCTCACCAAACGGATCGCTGGGATTGGCAAGCATGGACGTTTCCCAGGAAATTGCGAGCGTGACTTATATAGAGTTCTAGATCTTCCATTGGAACTTCACTGGAAAATTCAATCACTTTTTTTTTGTGGGATGACTGTTGGTTACTACCACATGGGTATTTGGGTCTGCCGATCTTGATACATAGGAGTTATATACAGTCGAGATCCCCTGCAAAGATATGGATGACCCTCGACGCAAAACAACGACGATGAAAGTTCCAATGATCCTTCCTCATGAACTACTGGAATTTTTAATGGTCTCCAAGCTGGCATTGATACGGTTTTTCTTTTTTGCTTAGTCGTATAATTGTGCGATCTTTTGTTGGCAATTCAGCATCTTTTCAATACATAATTCTCTGTACATCTACGTCTACATAAAGCCCCCTGATGAATCCATTCCACCTTCATCCAGGCAAAAAACAAAATCAACGTGAAAGAGCCCGAGAGGGAACAGTTTTGGGACCACTTCCGCGCTTACATGGGGGATCACCCTGCACTTTGGGAACATGATTCGCACAAAGGCCGTTGGCACCAACCTATCGGACTGTTTGGAGACGATGCAAAATACACACTTGCAGGTCGTAAGGTAGTCATCTTGCTCTTGAGTTCTGTGCTGCAGAAAATCGAAAGAGACTTGTATGTAGATCAGAATAATTTTTGATTCACCAATATCACTGCAAACCCTTTTAGATATGACAAACAAGTATACATGTTTGATTGATACTTGCCCAAGACCCAGCTCAGGATTGGATTTAGCACGTTTCCCGTTTTTCTTGTTGCGATATGAAGTTTCTTTGGGAGCAAGATCCTTGGACCCAATCCTCAGGGTTGCAGCCTGGAGTCTCAATGCAACTCAGCTAGCTGTGCCAGATTGCAGAACACCAGGGCGCCATTGCATGGTCAAGGGTGCTCCCAAAGATCTTTCGAGGGGTATATAAATTAAATGATTTGTTGCTAGCAAATGTTTATCTGCAACAAGTTTGGGTTCATGCTGTTATCAACCGGGTGGTTACAGCCGAATTATTTAGTTCGCCCCTTGTACCCAGGTAGCCTTCATTGGCAGATGGCCAGGGAAAGGACCGCGAGGTCAAGATTTAGACCCATCACGCCGAAAGCGTGCTGGTACCCCAATGAGTGATCGGTGGGCAGTGGTGGAGTACAGAGGAGATTGGATTCATGTTCTAATTTTGCGGTTCCCCCCCCAAAAATAACCTTTAACAGGTTAAACTTTATTTTTTTATTCGGGGATTATGGTGTGCCAAGCAAGAATTAAAATAATCTCTGGGCACAAATGTTTTTAATCCTAAAGGACTAAAGTATCTATACCTGATCAATGCATTTTTGTTGGGGGATTGTGACAAACCGTACAAGAAATATATAAAGATACAGTATTATAAAACGTATCTTTGGATCGTGTTTCAACCTTTTTATTAATTATATCCTCAACATTGGGTAAATGGAAGATGATTCAGTTTACCTACATGGATTTGTCCTACTGTACCTGCAACTTTATTTCCTGTTCTCCTGCTCTCTCCCATTAAACTTGTATATTTTGATGTATTATGTTTAGATAAATTGATAAATCAATATTTGCTTTGGGGATGCGATTAGCTCACCTAAGGAAGTGGCATGCAGAATTTTGGGGACTAAAGCACTATTATCTGTCATCTTCATTGTGTCACAAGTGCATGGCAAGCACAAGACCTGGCCCGAATCAGCTACTTGGTGAAAAAGAGTATGTTCAAATGATTCAACCTCTTATCAGTCAATTGATCCCCCAAAAATATCTTGGAATCAAATGCTTTTGGGGTAGCATAAATACATGGATGATTTGCTGATCTTGACCCAAACATATAAATATAGACCCATAGGATCCATGTATGGTATATATGCTAACATTTGGGGTATATTGATGGTAAATGTTACCATATATAAATATATATATATATATAGCATACATGGATCCTATATATGGGAGATATTGTTTCTGAACATTGACATCGAATGTATTTAGTTGGGGTTAATTTCCGTACCATCCATGAATGATTATGAATTATGAATCCTCAAAATCACCTTGAAAATTGCATTACGTACATATATATATATAATAATTCGATTGGGCCCACAAGCAATCTGAGTTACCGTCATTTCCGAAATTTTGCTTCGATCCCACGGCGGACAACAGCGCAGTTCCTGAACACTGGGGTAAAGTTCATCAACCCTTTGACTTTTGTTACTGGGTGGCACCCTGATCGGATCGTACATTGTGAGATGCATGTGGTGCACCTTGGCATATGCCAGTGGTGCAATGCATGTGCAGTTATCTTGTTGGCGAAGTTTGGTTTCTGGGGACCTGGAAAGCTCAATGAAAATTTGGAATCTCTGACAAGACGCTTCAATGCCTGGTGTCGTCTCAATGGCATAAGGTGGGGGTATGATCAAAGTTACAAACTATTTCCCCAGGATTCGAACCCTCATTTTCAAATAAGTAATCTGACCCCAAAAGTGTTTTTTGGAAGATTGGGGTTTTACTTTTCAAGTTAAGTTGCCGTATTGCTGGGAGGCACTACCAGCCATTCATTCCTGTGTCAGTTATTGCAGTCAAGCCCGGTGAATATCCGGAACTCCGTCTAAAAGCGTGGACTTCGAGAGTGCTGACAACATTTTTATCTGTCTGTCTGCAAGAGCTTTGTAAACGTTTGCCTGGGGACAATGTAGACATAGAGTTGAAGTTGGCGACCGTGGTCCTTACAAAACTGTCTGATTGGATGTTGCAAGTAGAAAGGACCCCAAGATTCATGACGAGACAACAGGCAACCGATCTTCAAGATCTTTCATGGCAGTTGCGTGGTCTTGGTTTATTTTGTTTTTATATATATATATATATTGTGTTCAAATGACAAAAAAATCTTCAGGTTTAGATTTGAATCAGTTTGTGTTCATCCTTTTCCTCATGAGGGAAGAGGAACCATGATCAGGTTTTTGGATACTTACGAACAATTGTCGCTTTGGAGCTTGCACCACAACATTCTACGTTGGCCATTCAAGCCAAAGTTCCATGCAACTCTGCTTCCAATTCAAATTGGTCTAGTTGCAGTTTTTAGTGTTTGGTTTTGTTGGAATTGTTGGGAGTTGTTTCTTTTGTTTTTTACCATTGCTGATGAAAGACTTTTTGATCTTCCATCAGCAATGCCACAGAACAGGCCTACACCGAGCTAAACCACAGCATGGTGGTGCAGTTGTATTGCTGCCGGCATTATCATTGCTATAATGATGAAGACACAGTTGGGACAGTGAAAGGCTTGTGCAGGGTGGTTCACGTTCGTTTGTTGGAAATGCGGTGTCTTATGAGATACCTTCTGCGTTTGGCCACCTTCTGTCGCCATTGAGTGGTGGAAAACAAAACATGGGACTGTTTTGGTCCAAGGGCATGGGGGTTTTGGAGCCTTGGTGTGGCCTGAAGTCAAGACACTATGAGACTCTAAGGCTACTGGGGCCATAGTGGTTATCGAACCCCTGGTTGTCGAATTTGAATGTTATTGATTTTTGAGTACGGACCCTGTTTATAAACCAATGTTGTTTCTCAGAGGCACGGAGCCAAATGTAGTCAAATATGACTAACATTGGATGCTAAGGGTATGTGTATATTGATCTTATTGCACACTGCACACTGTATGTTTAATTAAAACATGATAAATCATGAGGGACCGGACCCATGGTTTCACGAAAGCGGTCCTAGGAAGCCATGGTCTTGGAGGTTTCTTGAGCACCCCAATATTCGCCATCACGGTCTCCACATGAACATTGATGGCTGGTGAATATGGGTGCTCAAGAAAACTCCAAGACCTAATGAATATCATGATATCATCATCTCTAATGATGAATATCATAATATCATGATATCAATATGGTGAATATCAATGATTTCATCATGACGGATTTCATATATTTCATTGACATCATCTCCAAACAGTCAGTGGATCCTAGTGGTTGGATGTTTTAATTTGATGTTCCCATGGACTCCATCATCCCAAAGCAAAACCACTCATCATTCATCCTGTTGCATGGAAGCTGGTTGCATAAAAACCAATGACGTTGACATTAATAGCCATTACCCTCTGGTAGACTAACATCGCTATTGAACATGGTCATTTGCAATTGGAAAATCCACTATAAATGGCCATTTTCAATAGCTATGTTAAATTACCAGAGGGTAATGATCAACAACTCCTTGGCAAGTCCACTGGTTTTTCTCGAAGTGCAGATGAGGACTCCCAAAATGGGCCATCTAAATCATGCCAACCAAGAGATGTATAATGCACTACTAATAGTAATGGATAATCTATGAAAATAGTTGGTCTAGATCTAATATTTTCTAATACATAGACTATTCACTATTCACTATTCCCATGCAAGAATCGCTTTTGTCACCTGCCATGCCAGCCACTCCTTCTGCTGGAGAAGTAGCAGATATTCCAACCAGGGCTTGCCGTAGGGGTAAGCACAACTCGAGTGGATCACAGCCTCAGTGTGTCTCAGCTGAAGGATTTACCCCAATGGGAATGTGGCTATGTTTAAATGGAATATGGAAAAAAAGATGAGCTTCTAACATAATCTATTGAGATATATTAACCAAGGTTTACCCAAATCCCTTGAAATAATTTGAAATGAATTATGGTCTGTAGGTCTTGTCCCATCCGAAACTCTCGGGATTTGACCAGTGACTGATGAAGGGCTGGCTCTGTGGGCCACAAATGGTTTGCAACATTATTGTAACTGGTCTAAATCCACCAGACAAATCTTCCGAAGAAAATGGAACAATCATGACCCATTTACTACACATGTCCAGGATGCATACTTGACCTTTGTCAGCGCCTAATGCTAAACATAATCATGGCTAACCTTCGATATATCCCCCTCTATCAGGCAAACATCAAAGTACGATGAATGAAGTTTCCAATAAACTGAAGATTGAGATAAGTCAATGTAAATAATTCATAAAGAAGTGCACTGTCATAGTATATATATATACAGTATATATCCTATCACATACTGTATCATCTCCTACTATTCACTATGTGTTATATACTCGCTGAAACCCAGTGGAGATCCTCCGTGCAAGCCACGGCACCAACAACGGCATCTCCAAAGTCATCAGCAAACAGTGCAGCAGGTAGATGCCTGGGCAGATCATTTTTCCGGGGAAACCATAGGTCCGATGTCCATAGCTTTTCTACATCTATGTAATTCTATGTACAGTACATGTTTACAGTGGATTACAGTGGTACAATACTACTTAAATGCATCTCCTTCGTCCAATTGCAGAAGCTTCTTACCCCAAAGTGAAATAAGCAACCAGCTTAGGGAGTGCAAAACAATGTACATGTTTACCCGGGTCGGCGTACGAGTAGCAGTAGCACATATCTAAATAATGTCAAACATGTAACATATTCTAAATATGAATTTATCTATACAGCATGTCTGTAAATACATCTATAAATATCCTTAGATATCTATAAATATAATTGCGTAGATGTAGTAGATGTAGAAACAAAAACACGCACACAAAGAAAACAAGAAGTGCAATTACAAATATCCAACGAATTCCTATGCGTACCTTATCTGAACATGTCGCCATATAAGAATTGCGGATCACCAATTGGTTTTCCACCTAAAAAACGTTTCTCCACACTCCCTACCGACATTTGCTGATCCAAAGCCACGGGAGGAATAGCAAGTAAGTGCTTCTACCCCACCTCCAAACAATCTGGTCATCACTGTTGGCAATCATCTCATCTGAAATTTGTGGGGAAGAAACATCAGAAAGCCTTATAAGTCGATTTCTTGGGCCGTATGACCTAGCCGTTGTCTCTTGGAAGGGTTCAATTCAACCCATTCCAAAGATACCACTTGAGATCATCCAAGAATCCCAAGAACTATGAAACTACCAGGCCAACGACCAACCTCAAGGTTTCACCATGTTTTTTTTTTTTAACCCGATACCCAATGAACATCTCAGGACTGGGGCCACCAAACGCTTATCTTCCAAGTTGAAGGGTCCATAGCTCAAGACCTTGCGCTGACTCTTCAATTGGTAGGTCGAAACTCTCAACTCTGATAGATGCTGATATCTTGATATATCTTGTCATCCAATTTCGCAATGCCACATCAAATCACCCTTTGTCATCCAGCTTTGGGGATAAATCCTTCAGAAACCTGGACCTAGCTGAGCTGTAAGTCAACATGTTCTAAAAAAATGCCCATCATCCCTGACATCACTGGCTAATAACCACATCAGTTCATCTGTCACAATCATTCAAAAAATAGAGATGACGACCATTTCACCGCCCATGGCTTTGGGATTTTCACATGTTTTCACGGCTTTTCCTTCAGGAAATCAGAGAAAAACAATCACCAATTGGGCTCCCCCACCACCCACTGGAAGTAGGTCACCGACCTCAGGCCGGGATTGGAACATGTGAAACATCCAATTCTAGATTGGTTCTTGATTGTTTAACGATCCATTATTTATAGGCTTTCAATCATCCAAGGTGGTGCCGGATTTCTTCCATGCACTGTTTTGTGACATCTGTGACATAATGCCAGGTCAAGACACCAGTCCAGAATAAATGCAGGGTAGACACCTATGATAGGGTCCAACGGTCCAACCAATCCACCATAGATATTGACAATATTGAGATATTGAGATCCCTCTATGAAGCAGTTGCCAGGTCAAGAATCCAATTTCATGGGATAAACAACCCGTTTATCCCTAACCCGGACAGCAGAAATCCCATATCACTGTCAACCAACACTTTTGTTTTTGGCCACTGCTCATATAAATAGTAATCTCCAAAATGATGAATGATGATGAATGAGTGCATGGTAAAGAGACGGATACTGCATTTAAATAATCACAAACTGAGAGACAAACAAACAGATATACACAGAAATAGAGATCAAATAGACAAACAAACAAATAGGTCAAGAGGTAGAAGAAACAGAATCACATAGACACCTGATAGGCCTTTATCCGTCCACCAATCGAGACAGTCTCTGTTGCGGTGTTCCTACGGGGATAGGCCCAAGCTGTTGAGTTGTGGAATTTCGACCATAGGTCGAATCAACAGTTGCAATAGACTTATCACATTGACATCCGAAATTAGATGATAAAAGAAACATAGGTAAACATAGCAACAATGAAACCATAGCCATAGAAGTGGTAACCTGTAACTTGTGCAATGAGATGATGGCTGTGGGGATCATGAGTACTCGATTCAATTTCACTATAATTTACTTAATTGAATACTAATTAAATGAACAAAATCTGAGGCTGGGCCTGACCTTTTGAACCACGCCCATGTTGTCTTGTGTTCCCTGTGTCTGAGAATTGGATCCCCAAAAATTTGATGCCTGACCATGTTCCCCGTTTAATGCACATAGCTTGGAAGTAGACTCCATGTCAAGACAAAACCAAATCATTGCATATGCCATAATGGTGCTATTACATGTACATATTTTTTGTTTACCTACGTCTATGCATATACTACAGTATCTACATACATGCAGCATACCTCTCCCAGCTCCCAACCCACCCATAACTTCAGACTCACCACGTGACCCCCCCCCACAGTTGAAACAACGGCGCTTGCCGCTTGCAATTTCAAGGAACACAACACCTTTGACGCCCCAGAACTTCCAGAAAGGCCCAATCTGGCGAAGATATTCATCAAAGGTATGCCTAAGCGGCGCAAAGATGCCCCGTTGAACTGGGTATGGCAGGGCTGGAGCTCCATGGTAGGGGGTGAACCATCCATGGCTCCACAGGACCTTCAATCGCCATGGACAGGTAGAATTTCTTCGGGATCTAACATTCATCATTCCTCCATTGATATCACCTCAACTCATTTTAAGTTCATTCTAAATGGCACATATATATATATATATATCATATTATATATACACTGTGTATGTATATATATATATACACACTGTGCATATATATATATATACATATATACACAGTGTATATATATATATATATAACTATATATATATATATATGTCTAAAGCCAAGCGCCGACATCTATCTCCCCCTTTCTTGACCCCCTTTTTCACCAGTTGGTGTGGTCCGCCGCCCAAGGACTCGAAAGTGAAGACGAAGGCCAAAGCGAAGGAGCACAGGATGAAATTCACCGCAGCCGCGGCCTCGTGAGGCGCCGGAGAACGTCATCGGATTCGGAGTTGGTTGTTGGTTAATGAATATGATGTTCAATAGATGATTGTTAATGATAATATCAATTAATACTAATAGTGAATAATAGTAGAATATATTATATTATATTATATTATATTATATTGTATCATATTGTATTGTATTGTATTATATTATATTATATGATACTATTATTCTGATTAATAATTGATTAATAGTTGATATAGTTGATTAATCTATTCTTAATGGACTTATAGTTGGTTAATATAATGTCGGCCCAAGACTTACCAGGGGTGCACCGTGTCAGCAAATGCTTGGGGATTGGACGTGCCATGATGTTTTGGTCTTCTTGGTGGTGCCCTACTCCGGCCTGAAGGGGTTCAACAAAAAGCTCTTTGGGGATGGATGAAGATTTGTGGAGTTTGTCAATTCAACTTTGCCAATGCTATACTGCTATAATGTCAACCCTGGATAAATACACCCCTAGGCTGTTTAATTGGGGTGGTACAGTACCATTTCAGTCGCCATTTATCACTATTTGGGGGAACCACTAGCTAATTAAGTGCTTTCAGTAACAAGAGGCTTGGGAAATCGGTTCCCACGGCATTCCCGCGTCAGAGTATTGATCTGTTTCTCCTCTGGCTGTGATGGCGCTTTTTCGTAGCACTGTGCTTAGACAAGTTTGCGCGACTTATTCGTTCTTGCCCGACATCGCACCAGAGTTGAGTCTACCCAACCAGATTGGATCACTCTAGTTTGGCGACTGCAATTTCTGCATGGCATGTATGATTACAATTTGGCACGCCCGACTGCCATCATCAAACTTGACAGGCAAACAAGGCAAGACATCAACATCATTGCTGGTTTACACCCGCATTTATTACTGGTCATTTTGCCCATGTTTGGACAAACTTATAAACCCATTCATGGACGGTTTTGTCGGTTAGTTCAACAGTTCTATTCCATTAGATTCCAGATTCGACCTACTACCAACCATTTACCGGACTCCACACACATGGACATCCATTTATCTATGGTTTGATAACATATTCCACCTATTTTTCCTAGCTTTTACACCCGTTTGAGTCTAGAAAATAGGCTAAATCTGCCACATCATCATCATATCTCCCGGATATCCTTAGTGAAATGGCCTAATGTGCAGGATCTTTCCCGATTTTCACAGCCCTTTTTCCCGGTGACGCCGAGATATCCCCGTAGCACTAAGGCTGGGTCTCCGCACCAGGTGGATGTTCACCTCATAGAGCTCGGTACAACTCATGCAGCTCCTGCAAGACATAGTATGATTCTATGGTTATGATTGATTTATATAAACCACCATAATGGTATACGGTTTGCGGTTGACGGTTTATATGATTTTTTCTATGGTTTCTATGATGTTATCATTATTATCTATATATGTTTCTATGTGCGTTTATATGATAATGATTGATAATGCATATATAGAATTATATATATATACCCACCTACACTGCAAGCGAAAAATATGTGGTATATTAAAAAGGATGGTATATATAATATAAATAATTATATATACACACACACACACCCACCTATTAAACTTTGTTTAACATTATATATACCCACCTATTCACCAGCAAAAAAGGATGGTGTTGTTTTAAATGCATGTATTGCACTGTGACTGGAAGCCATGGACATCTGGGCGTAGCAAAGTGCCATCTATCGTGGAAACAGGCTGTGGTCATGGGGATATGCTCCTGAAAAACCAGGGGATGTGAAGCAAAATAGGCATGTAGCACCCAATACAGAGGATGATCCTTAGCTGGAAATTGGGTTCTTAATTTGAACCACACTTGGGATCTAGCTCGAGGCAGGGGTCCAGGAACATGCATGATTTGCTCATCTTGAGTCTCCTATCCCAAGAATAAGTCTGTCAATTCGATATCCTCGCATGTAGGGCGGAATATTCAGAAACTACTAAAACCACCAGCCAGTTCAGGCTTTGAAACGGCTTTATGAGTCTGTGAGAAATAAGGGGTCGGTACGACTTAAAGAAAGGGCTGAACACTTCAAGAGCTACATAGATCATAGAATTGTTTGAATTTAGAATTGGGAAATCGACTGTAAATTCAATTTTTGGGACATCCTGTCTACTCCAGGACCCAGGATCATTATTATACAGGATTAAACATCTCATCCATAGTTGCCGACTAAAAAAACACTGATTCTGGGCAAACTCAAATAGGATTTGAGATACAAACCTATCCCTGCAGTGACGGGCCCTGCTCCCATGTACATTTTTCTAAAATAAATGCGGCCCCATAACTCCTCTTAAGTCCCGCAGAACCCTAGGGCCGCAGGAATGCTCATGGATCAATAGTGATCAATATGAAGGTACTCTAAAAACAGAAATCCCTGTTGGAAATTCTTTTAAACCTATATAAATAAACCTCCTATAATCCCCAAAGAGGGTGGATCCCTCTTTTATATCCAGGCCCAGTGCAGGGCGCTCTTGGAAGCCCAATAGCACAAGGACGGCGCAGAACTTTGGAGAAAGGTCGTCAATAACCTGCCATGGGATCCCCGGGATTTATGGATGTGAATCCAGTAACCCAGTAACCCCCTCTAAAGTGGTTATGCCTATTGATCTATAGCCATAGATCCTTTGACATCTCTTGTTGACGTATAAAAAGACGTCTTGTTGACGTCTTGTTGGTGCCCGGAAAAAAGTTCGCTTTCAGTTTCGAGAATCATATATGGAGATGTTTGAGAATGTATTAAGATCATTTCAAATGCAGTTGATTCCATATTTTTCTTGGGTGAATGAACATCCCTTCACAAGCAATTTGCTGTGCATCAGGGTGAGCTGACCCAAAGAAAAAATGCTTCAGAATTCGAGTAGTGGGCTGATGAAGCACAGGCACAGCATACTGCCAAACTTCTACTGAATCGTCTTGTAGAATCATCAACAGAAAGGAGTCGGATGAACTTGTAGAATCATCAACTTGATGTTTTGGTTACCATCTGGTTATGACTAACATAGCCATGGAAAATCATCGTTTTTAATAGGTAAACCTCTATAAATGGGCCATTTCCCATGGCTATGTTAAATAACCAGAGGGTAGTATCTTGAAACTTGATCGTGAGTTGCAACTGAAAAAAAACATGGTGGTTCAACTGTGAAAATGACCTGCAAAGCCATGGATTTGCCAAAAGAAATGCTATTTTTGATCCCTGTCGCCAAGTTAAAACGTGTTAAAACAAGGCTGCTCATAGATCCTTCCCAACACGTGTAGCTTGTACAGTTATACCCTATCAATCTTGCCATTTTCATAAATTTTGAGGTACAGGAGGGCCACATCTCTGCTTTCCTTACTTAATTCGAGTGGATGTGCAACACGGCTCGCGAAATCGAAGCAGCCACTCAGCCACTCTGCCAGAGTGGCTGCCGCAGCCACTCAGCCACTCAGCCACTCTGCCAGAGTGGCTGCCGCAGCCACTCAGCCACTCAGCCACTCTGGCAGAGCGGCTGACGCAGCCACTCAGCCACTCAGCCGCTCTGCCAGAGTGGCTGGACCAGCCAATCCTTAATTCAATGGACTCGAATCGTATTTTGCTGAATTCCTTGAAGGCTCCTTCGTTTCTAGACATCTCCTATGGGATTAGAACCCGAATGCAAATCTTCTTTGCCCCTATTGGCCATTATTGGCCCATATACAGTTACATATACATATCATGTACATATACATATATAGATGTACATATACATATACATGTACATATACATGTACAACATCTTTCAACTGGGGCGCCTGGTGGCAGTGATGACCATAATCATAAAGACCCAGGTGCGCACACCTGGCCATGTCTCGGTAGGGGATAGGTCGCAGGGAGCTGTTGAGCAGCAATTTGTCTAGGAAAACCCATGGGTTTCTACCAAGAATTTTGGTTGGGGGTTCCTGTAGATGTCCATTTCATCCAATTTTGGGACCCCGGGGGGGAATTCAACACCTTGAATAAAACATGTCTGATGTGATGCCATCGGTTACATACACCTGTCAACTGAACCCAATCACGCAATGTTTGATTTTTCCAGTGGAGACCAGAGATCCCCAGGTTGAGATCAATCTGAACCGCAGGAGCATGGCTATCTCACCACATACCAACTAGAATGCACATCCAAGTGGCGATCAAGTAATGATTACTTCACCAATTCATCCATCTATAAGTGGGATGTATGCCCCAGTTCGGTATCACGGTATCTCCATGAGTACATAATAATATGTATATTATATACATACATATATGATCATATATGTATCACTATGTATCCATATAAATCAGTACGGTTGGTGATTAGTACTGTTGTTGATCAGATATTCCAAGGGAACATCCACGACGGGCCTTGAAGACTCAAGTTCCTCAGCCAAATTCGAGATGCCACCCGTTCCACCCTCAAATGGAGACCCTGCCCAACATCTGCTTTTCTTCAAGAAATCAAGTGGATGAAAAAAAAAACCGACCTTCCAATTTAGAGATTTTGATGATTTCCAATAAATCAACAATACTGTCAAGCGCCATAAATGATGTAAAACAACCATCCTTGACAATATTAATCAAACAATATCAAACAATATTAACCACATAAATAAATAAACGCACATCATTATACATATCACAATAATTTGTCAACTATCACACGTCACGTAACAGATCAAAAACAAATCTACCCCCATCATCAGCAATCTGTTTCGAGCTGCTTGAAAGGTTTCACAAAGGCTCGCCGTTCGACATCTTGTCTTGACTCCACATCCACCACTGTCACGAAGAGGCCTGTGACGATAGTGCCGGTGTTCGATTTTACGCCTTTGCATGGTTCCTAAACACACAGAGTCGATCCTTCAACAGGTTTCTTGAGGGTGTTGGTTCTTGGGTGACGGGATTATGTTGTTGTTGTTGTTGCTGTTGTTGTCGTTGTTGTCGTTGTCGTTGTTGTCGTTGTCGTTGTGGTCGTTGTGGTCGTTGTCGTTGTCGTTGTTGTTGTTGTTGTTGTTGTTGTTGTTGTTGTTGTTGTTGTTGTTGTTGTTGTTGTTGTTGTTGTTGTTGTTGTTGTTGTTGGTGTTGTTGTTGTTGTTGTTGTTGTTATTGTTGTTGTTATTATGTTGCTGTTATGTTGTTGTTAGGTTGCTGTTATGTTGCTATGTTGATGCGCTATATTGTTATTGATATGTTGTTATATTTCTATGTTGTTATGTTGACATGTTTATATTGTTGTTGTTATGTTGTTATATTGTTATGTTGTTATGTTTATCTTATCCCTGGAGCAACAATTCTGGAACTCCATTCTATCCATTTATATCCCGTGATATCCTGTGATAGCAGCATTTGTGTTGCTTCATTCCCCATGTCTTTGAGGCTGCCATGTGAAATCCCCAGGAAACACCATCCTTTGTGTCCCTTGGGTCCCGAGGCCGATGCCGATGCCTAGCACGGACCACAATGCCCAAGCTTCCCAAATTTCCGAGCTCTCCACCTAAAAGTGGCCAATCAGAGGTGCACCAAGTGATGCCCACAGTTCGCGACAGTCATTCAGCCATGAAAGGTGTGTTTCATGTTATTTTTAGGAAGGACAAAGATGTTTTTTCCATGAATTCTTAATGATTTCGATGTTAGTTTAGAGACCCATTTGTGCAAACATGTTTTCATTTTCGCATTTTGGAAAGCTACAAATGAGTGGCTGGCCAGTCACTTTTGGTCGATATCATGGGGATCATCAGGGATGATTAGGGATGCATCGGCTAACCCCAAACAGACATAGGGATTGAGGAAGCCATAGAGAACCATCACAAGCCTTTCATTTCGTCTGGCTTGCAGATCCCAAGTGTCCTAAAGCACCCTCAGGGGTTCTGTTCCCCAGTTCGGTTTTGTTCTGCCAACAACCGCCTAAGTTAAGCCATTCCCAGCGTGTAGGATTTCATCCGGACTTTTCAAGCAAGTCCATGCCCAGTTGCCGCTGTCCCATCAACTACTAATCATCTTGTGGCATGTGAGTACAAACAGTTATTGCCAAGTTGTGTGATAAACATCTATACCATTATCTGGTGATAAACATCTATAAAACCCAACTGTTGATCCATTTTTTGGGTGGATTATTGGGTTCTTCAAACCCAAAAACATCTATAAACATCTACTATCATGGATTATGGAGGGTGGATAAACATCTATTATCATGAATTATTCACCCTCCATAACCCAGGTCGTCAAACACATTCGGCCGCTGAACTCATCAGTTGAGGTGCAATGGTGGAGATCACCTGCAGGGAGGGTTCAAGACCCTCCAGGAATCATACATGTCTATATAGCTGGAAAATTCCTTATAAGTGGAGGGTTTCACTGTGAAAACCCTCTACAAATGGTTTTATAGTCTGGATTCGATGAATCATAATGGTTTACTAAGCTGAAAAAATCGTCCAATTGGGGATAGTTACGCGGTGGGGTCGTGAGTTTTTGTTTCCCTAAAGCAACCTTAAAACATGGAATTAAATTGGCAACCATTCGGTATGCAGTTAATCAGCACAAATCTCAATCGCTGAAAAATGCTATGTGATCGGCAGATGAGAATATCGAGAAACCATGGTTTGTCATCCATGCATCCAGAAACTGAAATCTCATCAGCACAAGTTAGCTCGCCTGATCCACACATTGTATCTACAGCAGGAAACATGGGTATCTTATCACAAAAAAAAATGTCAGGCATGCTGAATGGAACTCACCTCTATGTCAAGTTTGCACCTCCCTAACCCCTCCCGACCGGATCTGGGAGTTGTGATGGGTAAAACATGGTAAAACGGTGAACAAAACAACGACACAAAACATCTTCAGGATCATCACCAAATCCCCCAATTCCTGGCTGTTCACCTGTGTGGAATGAGCATTCCCTTGTAATCGCAGTTTTCTCACGCAAAGATGACCAAAGAAACCAATGTTCACCTCAGCAACGTGCTTGCATCATGTTGCATCGTCGGGTAAGGGTGAGATTCCTACCATGGATGGCATGACTATTCCCATGAAATTGGATGAACTACAGGCTTTTGCCTGCTCTCTCCTTCTTTTTGGAGTCTGGTGGTGAATGTTTTGGGGTCTGGAAAGATCATTGGGAAAAAATATTGACTCCGGAAACGATGATTATCCCCACATAATCTATATCCCATAAACTCTACTTGATGCAGGTGTCACTACTCAAGCCGATCTCCATTCAAAACCCTTGGGGTGAGGCCGAAATTCTTCCAACAAACATGTGACAATTGGACAATCCCTACCTTTCAAAGATATGCAGTTCATAAATGAATCTAAATGATATATACAAACATAACATAACAAGAACACATCATAAGACCCTGATTTGATAACTACGCTGAGGCCCCCCAGCAGCTATCTTTGTTGGTTTATAACCCCCTTAACAAAAAAACATATATCTTCCCCGAATCAACCGCATCAAAATCAGCCCCAGGACTCCCAACAGGAAGCAACAACATGTCAAGCAATCCATCGACGGTGATCCTGACCGACAGTCATCACTGCGTTCTAAGAAACGCCCAACTGACTGGACACATATGACACATAATCCCTACAGTAAAGATACCCTCTGGTAATGACTAACATAGCTATTGAAAATGGCACCTTTACAGTGGATATACCCATTGAACATGGTGATTTTCCACAGTTTTTTGTATGTTTACCAGGCCGGGTACCACAAAAGCAATGACTGACAATGACTGCAAGGGGAAATGTCTTCGGCTTCCGGTGACTTGATCCACTGCTGCCCCCAGCACACTTTGTCACCACGTCTTTGTTTCGAACCGAAGAAAAGTTGCAGACCTCCACACGGGCGGTTGGGGTGGTTGGGGGTTGCTCAGACATCCCTGGTGGTTGAGAACGCTGGGTAAGTCCCAAACACCAGTTTGTTCTTTAAATCATCTTGAGCTCTCAATTATACGAATCATTACTAATTGGTTCAAGATGATTTAATACTTCACCAATCTAATAATTAACTAATTCAAAACAATTCATTGATTTCAGCCAGTTTCTGATTTGAATTCAGTCAGACTGTGGATCAAAAAGCTGGTAATTACCCAGGTGGACCTCAAAAATAGCCCCATTAAAGGGACGTTCATCTCCCCAGATAATCCCTTCTTCTTATTTCTAAAACTCCCCAAAAAAAACAGGGTTGGTTTGGCACTTCCGTTTTTTTGGTTGGTTACAATTGGATTCTTAATTGTGGTAATTGAGAATCAATAGGAGAACAGGATGGTGAAACAATGGGTTCAACCCCCTATATAGTATAGAATGGTACCTGGAGGTTATTTTTACTAGGGTCCCACCTCACAAGTTTTATTTTGTATTTTTATTATTGATGTTTTCATTGGAATATTAGGGGACAGTTTCAGTTTCGAAATCCGGTTTTTGACCATATTTTATAAAGATTTTACTAAGGGATTTAATCCAATTTGAGATGGAGTTTTTTCATTTTAATTATTAGGGTTTTCATTGTACAAAATACCCCCTAATAATAAAAATAGATCACCGTGGTTACCATTTGGGTTGAGGGGGTCGTTTTAGTAATAGGGAGAGAGGATGAATTCGAATTCGTACCATTTGTGGAATGTAGACTTTCACAATCATAACGACGAAGTGGCAGCAAAGCATATAGCAGCACAACGTGTCTTGCACTGTCTCAGTGCACTTTTTTCCCGACCCGCAAAAAATGCATTCAATGGCAACAATATCCCAAACAAACATCATGCTTTATCCGACCGCTGCCATTTGATCAATTAAATGTGGTTATATATATATATATATGATGTGCCGCACTTTCAACTTGGAATGACTAGCTTTTCCAGGTGGTAGTAAAACATGGTCATGTGGTAAACATTATTGAAAACAACACTCTATTTATAGATCTATGTTTACCGTCTGAGAAGTTCTAAACAATACTCACCAAAATAGTGTACAATCATATAGTACATATATCATATGTCATATATGGATATTAGTTTTATTATATATCACTATTGTTATCATAATTATTATCAATCATAGTTTCTATTATATACAAAACATCATGATTAACATCATTATCGTACACTATTGCGTTGTTTATCGCATTTAAGCCCTTTTTGATCCTTCGAAACGTCGTGGTCCCAGGGCGCCTCCAGTAGAACCACCAAATATGTGATACACATGGAGCAGAAGGACAGGAGAACTTCCTCACATAAAAAAGAAACGGCTGGAAATGCGTCTGTTAAAAAAATGGGAGATATCCTGGATGGCCATGTTCAGTACGAACATGATTAACATGATTATATATATATATATATATACATACACCAATCATACACCCTATTTCCAAACAAACCCAAATGAGTTGTGAAACAAAACGCCGCTAGCGATGCTTCACGAGCCTGAAACAATACTGGGTCATTGTGGATCATCAACCCATTGGTTGCGATGGAATTAACCTTTTGTGGGATGGGTATAGAAACCAGCATGAAGGGCGCCCTGTCTATGGGATGTTTTGCACTTGAAACAAACATTGAACCCAAAACCTCCCGAAGGTTGGAGGTTTCTAGTCCCAAACTGGTTCCTTCTGGTCAAAGGTACCAATGGAACATGCCCCATCACTTCAGGTGCATTGTCCCCGGACGAACATGACTTGTTGCTTAACCTCTGGTAAACTAACAGTCTGCTATGGTAAAATCATCATTTTTTTAAATGTAAATCAACTATACATGGCAATCTTCGATAGGAAACTCTTAGTTTACCAGAGGGTATATCATGTTATATCCAAAACTATACCCCATTATATCCGTTATAAATAATTATTAACCATGATTAACCATTATGAAATTACCAAAGGGTAACTCAAAAATCACCTTTGTCTCGGTGGACTGCATCAACTCCCTCTGATTCGGTTGTTGGTTGTTCATTCTCTTGCGATAAGCCAGCCACGATTTTCGCCACCACATTGGGCCCAAACCGGTTGTGTAAATCTGGTTATAATGATATAAATGTATTTACGGTACACCAATCAGTAGTCTCATTTTGTGAAGCAATCCTTGATTGTACATTCTGTCCCCATTTCTGCCGGCCAAACCCGCTAAACCCAACTAGTGGGTTCAAGATCTCTGCCGCTGGTCAGAACTACCTATTGACCAGTTGCTATCCTCATTTCTTGTGGGCAATATCGTTGCAATATGGTAATTCCGGGGGAATCCAAACTTATTCTGGTTGGTGGCTTTAACCATCTTGAAAAATATTAGTCAATGGGAAGGATTATCCCGTACATGATGGAAAAAAGTTTGAAACCACCAGCCAGTATAATTTATGTATTCAATCAGAAACCTTAGTACCATGGTGACTGTCAGTCGACACATATGTACAGTATTCCAAATGAACCCCGGTATCTGCAGCACCAAAAATCTTCGGCTGTTTTGAACTGTACTAAGCACAAATCACCAGACTCGTAGCTGTGAACAACTATGAAAATAATGGTTCTTAAACATGAAGTAGTACGACTAAGCACCAACGGGGGTAAAACTGATTATAACTGTGTAGCTGTGGATTGGCTAAGCCCACGCTGCTCGCCCAGACCCACTCTGTGGACACATACACTTACACCTCTCTCTCTCTCTATATATATATATATACAGTTACGTATATACATATACACAGTACCTTACTATATGGCACGGTGCTTGGCAGAGACTACGCTGGATGACATCCGTTTAGACCCTCAAAGAAAGCCTGTACTTGGTGGCTCATCCCACTTAGATCCACTTAGTAAGTAGATTATAACATGTTATATCCCTGGTTGTGGGATTGCAGTAGGCTTTATCCACTGCTAGGACTATAAAACACCATTAATATACCATTAATAGACATTAATAGACCATTAATATACCATTAATGAACACCAGTTCACAGCAGTTCATCCCATGGCTCGCTCCAAGAGTCCCAGGGCCAAGTTCCGATCATTCGAATGACCTGAAACCTGACACGCTCGGCTGGGCGACTTCCCCGGCGCTGACATAGCTGACATAGCCATGGAAGCCATGGCCCAGTTAAAAATGATAATAATGTTATATATATATATTATATACAGTAGTTTTAAGATACCTATTGCACATAGGGATTTTCCTCTGATTTGGCTTCTTGCTATGGAACATGGATGAACATGGCTGATTTAATTTGATTTATATACCCACAAAACAAGGTAACCTTCCATCGCAAAGTGTGCAACCATACTACATGGTACGATTGGAAAATGGTGTTATGAACAGAATAAACATTACGCATTTAGGAACTACTATGAACATATGTAGTTCCAAAGTAACTGTGGACATTTTCAGAAAATTAAGTATGAACGGAATGAATATTCATGTGTGGTAAAACTAACGGCCACATTCAACGGTTTTATGAAACTAGTGGCAATATATGTGGTTTGAATACCCGGTTCACCAAGGTTGGCAATAACCCACCATGGTGATACTATGTGATATTGACATAATTTCCAACGACATTCATTCTATGATTCATGATGATACAATCTCGCATCCCAGCTTCGTGATAAAAGAATGCTTTGATAAGTTTGATTTATGTCCAAATGATGATCTGTGGTTGGCACCCCTGCCTGAATGATGTTCAAAGAAATTCACGAAATGGAACTGTTTTTTCAGGGCAATTTTGTGCTGGGATCCCAGCATATCTATACATGTTCCATGGTCAAGAGAAACTTCCCTGCAAATCAATCGGATACCAATGGATACCCTCTGGTAAACGTTTACATAACTATGGAAAGATCCACCATTTTTACTGGGTAAATCAATTTTTTAGATGGCCATGTTCAATAGCTATGTGAAATTACCAGAGGGTACCGGATATGACGACATAACAAGACTGTCAAGACAGATTTCAGCCGGGATTGAACCAATCGAAACGCAAATCACAATGGATGCCTCTGGTAATCAAACTTGGCAACAACAAATCAACCATTTAAGAGATAAATTGCCCATTCAAACTCCATTTCTATCATTGGATTGGTTGATTGTTCCATTAAGACCCCAGCATCTCAACTGCCATGTCTGATTACTGGCCAACCTGGAAATTTCATGTGGACAAGTTCCAAAAATCCCCTGTGGGGAGCCATGCAAAATTTTCATTTACCTGTGATCAATGTCGCAAATGTAGGCAATTATTGTAAACATATCCCGTTCTATCCCAGCGAAATTGCATCATAATATCATAAGTCACTTCAAAAAAACAAGGCAAAATTTGGGATGGCTCCGCCAAGTAATTAATCATTTATTTTCACTAATTTTCCCAAATATAGCCATCCTGGAGCAAGATAAAATATGGAAATTCCACATTTACGCAGCACTAAAATGGCGCTATGTGTTTGAACAGTCTGTATTCCATCTACTTCAGACAGAATGAGACACAAAACACTAAGATCACCAAGACATTTCGAGGTCCTTTCGGCGCATTTTGGGCCCCGACTCGCGGCCGATGAAACCCAACTGCATCGCCATATGAAACCAATACCAGCGGATCTTGGCGGCGGCGATCCAGTTGATGGTCATGGGAAATTGTGGATCGTACAATTCATGGATGGCAAGATGTCAACTATTAATGGATTATTACCATTATTAACCATTGAACATGGTATTAACTAATTATTATCATTGGATGGTATATAATATTCTATAATTATCTTGGATTGGATGTAATTGGATGGTCAGTGACTTACTGGTGCTAAACGTAGGGAATGGATGGGAATGAATGATCCAATCCATAGTTATTTGCACAATCATCCCGTTCCCCCATTCCCTGCGCTTAGCACCAGTGAGGTGAAGTTTTTTATTGTTAATCAATTCTTGTTGCTGTGAAAATTGACGTTAGAAGTCGACCTATATCCATCTACGGGTAACTTATACATATACATATATATATATATACATAATTACCCAATATAGTATGTATATATACTTATAAAAAAATATATATAATATGTGATAGAAAAATACTACGTATATATACCAATATATTCATGCTTGTATGTATATATATATATAGTTATGCTATCACAATAAGCCGAAGAGTTCACCTAAACTGTCAGCGTAGTTGAACAGGGGCTCTGGGTAGTTGAAAACAGAATAGTTTTGGCGTCCAAAGCTTCATGGAAACTCACCTACAAAGCGGTCATTTCCGCATACAGAAAGCAGGATCTGTCTAGGATCCCCATAGATCCTCATATGTATCTGACTGTTCCATATTGGATTACAGCCAGCCTCATAAAATGGAAAGTAGACTCATGAAAAATCCGAAACCAAAGGAGTGCCTTAATTTAAGTGTGATTTTCCTTGGGGGAGGTGCTATCCATCCACAACTCGACAACATTCGACTCATAAACCGTCTGATTCTTGGGGTTCTGACCCAAACCTCCACTAAAAACCACACCAGTTGATGGAAGTTGCTTACATTCAACTCCCAGGATCCCAACAAATTACTTCGAACAAGTCCATTTTAACCCAGAAATCTTCAGAAGTGTAGATATATCTATAGTATATCTATAGTATATCTATAGATATCTTTAGATATCTAAAGATATCTTTAGCACTTTTTGCGAAGTCTCCGGGTCCCTTGGCCCATATTTTTCCAGTGAAACCCTCAAACTCCGGGTCTCCAACGGCTGCGTGGTTGAAAAGCCATCGCCCCCAAAGCTCACCTCCGCTTTGGCCATGGGAACAATAAGATGGGTCAACAAGATGGAATAAGTGGTTGGATTATTTGAGGCTTTTGACCAACAAGAATGGGACTTATTGGAAAAACCACGGGAACATTATGCGATATAGTGGGATATAATATGATATAACATGGGCCATGGGCTTAATGGGGTATGGGATCATTTGGCATTAGGGATAACATGGATAACTTCATGGAATTCTCATGATTTAATCATCACAACCATCAAGGGACCATCAAGACCATAGGGATTTGTTTTCTGGGGATTGGGGAAGTACCGTACACATGGGATGATCAGAAATGTCCATCCGGGGGTTCCAAACATCATCGGAAATTCATCGTGGTGCCGACTGGCACATGTGGCGGCTTGTCCTTACAACTTGCGTCTGCCAAAAATGGCCAATGTATAGGAGCATATAGTAACCACCCAAAGAGATCCCCAAAAAAAAAGTTCCTACGCAAATCGTTGTAAATAATGTTCCAGTCTATTTCGGGGTTGTTATGATGGTGAACATGGTCGTAATCTATTGAATTGGGAGTACCCCATTTTCAAAAAAGCATTTTCCAGTCCAGAAAAAGTATGGCCTGTGTCCGCACTTTCTGGGAATAACACGAGAACTAGTAGCACCTAGTGAACCGGTCATGAAAACTGTCCATATATCCCTGTCCACACAAAACATACTTCTAGATACTTTCAGGTCTGTACATTCGTGCATCCTTTCATGTCCCGTATTGGCAAAGAAGCTCCCTGTTAGTTTGCCCTGCTGTGAGCATTCAAACGTTGAATTCCCAGGATGCAGACCAAAACCTTTTTCGCCGCCAGCGACGCCAGCGCAACTGAGCTGTTCCGAGACCGGTGCTGTTAAACAGACCCGGTCAGTCCTCCAAGTCATGTGCACCAACGGGCATGGGTCAAGCACTCAGAGAAATTGTCATTTTCAGTATCAAAGCATCGATTGAAGAGGTGATTTTTGGGTTGGCCCATGCCCAAAATTGCCCAAATGCGTTGGCTGTAATGGCTCAGGGTATGGCTGTGATTCGAATCTTGCTTGATGTGCCATGGATGCCATGGATGCCATGGCCAGTCACCCCAAGGGTAGCCATTTCCAGTGTCTGAAAATGGCATACTATGGCATACTATGGCCAACTTTCACATTACAGTACACATCATACAAGCCACTCGCGTGCTTTAACTACCCTCTGGTAATTTAACATAGCTATGGAAAATCACCATTTTTAATGGGAAAACTCACTATAAATTGCCATTTTCAATAGCTATGTTAAATTACCAGAGGGTATAGTGCTTACACCATTCTTTACACTTGACCTCGACTCGTTCTATCATAGCCATTCCGCGTCAGAGCAGCAGACTGTACCATCGCAAAACGCATCGCAAAATTCACCGTCTCAGCGTCTTAGTGCCGCGCAGTCCCTTCACGCTCCTTGGTTCTGCTTGAGGGCAATAAAAACATAATGTGGGTAAAACAATGCCATTTTTACCAGCCATTTGGGAATGGTAACCAAATCCCGCCTATAAAAATGCTGATGACTGGGGGATGGTTTATTCTTTTAGCCACAACATTTCCGTATACCCTCTGGTAAACGTTTACATAGCGAACTGGAAAATCACCATTTTCAATGGGTAAATCCACTATAAATGGCCATTTTCAATAGCCATGTTAGTCATTACCAGAGGGTAGATTCCTTACTCATGGTGAATGTTCGGGGAAGATCCACCGATTTTCCACGACTCAAACAAGGCCGTGGCTCCGAGCGCCAAGCCGGCCAGAGTTTATCGAAGATGAAATCCACGGCCTCAGCGTTGTTTGCCATGGGACATTGCGGGGAACCTAGAAAAAACATGGTATTGTGTTGAAAAACTCGATTAGGAGGTTCATTTATATTTGATACTTAATATATTGATTTATTGTTTTGATCGTATTTGGCAATTTGTTGTTTGTTTAGCGCTAGTAATTGATAATTAGCAATTTGTTGTTCTTCCCAATATGGCTAACTTTATGCTAAACATGCTCGCATCCAAGCAACATGCTCGCAAGGGCCATCCAACCTCACTGCAGGTTGAACCAGCCATGGCTTTCTGGGGAAGCCGCCAGGGGTTCCCATTTCCTAAACGGATGGCATGGGATTGAAAATAGGCTACCCCCAATTCCAATGGTTGATGATCATTGTCCCCATTCACATGTCCATTGGGGGCATATTGTATTGATATGTACACCCAATTTTCAGACAGGTACCACATATCGAAACTCTGCGACAAAAACTCACGAACATCGTCGAACTCTTGTGGTCTGTTTGGCCTGAATGTGGACCCATAACAACCCTCCATAACAATGCGCCAAAGATGATATTCTAAGTGTCTATCTTCATAAAGGGAATCCCGGACTGCTATCAACTTTCCAGGAAGCCTCAAGTGTTTAGCGCAAAGAACAGCAGGACATTTTGAAAGAACACATGCATGGGAACTACGTGACTAACCTGTTTTCAAAATGGGTGAGCAAGCAATTCAAGTGCCCACAACTTGAATTTATTCTATCAGCGACTTGAAACCAATGCATCTATTTCAGCAAACCCTAAAAATCCTCGAAACATCAATACTTCTCATTTTCGTGCCAATAGAATCGCTGACGAAAAAAGCGCATGGGGAGCTGGATCACCGACACCAATCTCATTTCGAACATCGCAAGTATCTTCTTGGAGTTTCGTTCAAAGATCAGAAACCACAAGTTGCTGTCGTTTCAGGTTATGGTTCAGACCTTGGGTCCATTGGCTGGCCCATTCTCGGCTATTCTCCACCACCTGGTGACCGAAACTTTCAAACATACTGGTTAACTCACATATGAAAATATTTTCTTGAGGTAGACCTTTCGGGGATGCCATATCATATGTATATGTATATGTATGTGTACATATATATATATATATACGATTATATAATATTATATATATATATTATATAGATTATATATATATATATTATTATATTATATTATATTATACTATATTATATTATATTATATTATATTAAATTATATTATATTATATTATATATATATATATCATACATGTATATATATATGTACTGTATATCCATACAATTACATATAACTATATATATATATATGCATCATGCGCACACACATATACCATGCTGGAAGAACAACACATATATCAGTCCATTCCCAAATAGGTCGTTGGGATCTTGGAACTGCTCCCATAGAAGCTGGTGTACGGTGTACATCACAATGCGCATGAGTATATCTGAACATAATTATTTACATATGGAATGGAAATGGTGTGTATATAAAACAATGATGATGATATATATATATATATATGTATCCCGAAAAAAATCATGCTTGGTTGATACTGCTACGAGTACACATTTGGGAGTCCTCTGTTTTCGAACAACGGCAAACACATACTCAAAACAACGCATACTGTTCGTAAAATATCACCCCATATGAAATACTTGGTTTCACTAAAAAGCTCCATGCATATCTACAGGATGTATATATATATATACGAATCTACATATGCATATATAAAATGTGTTCTGTGTATGTATATATATAATATATATACATCCCAGTTGGATCCAGGGGAGACGCTCATCCGGTTAGTGTGAAAATAGAGTAAGGCCCATATGCCGTAGATGATCGCCTTTTTTTCGCATTTTTTCCTATTGAAGCGGTCATTTGCGGGCATGTACCATTTTCGGACGCGACAAAATATCATATTGGTGGTTATACAAGTTACGAGTATATATTCCACTACTACCCCATATCCCATTACGTAACTTTACGTATCCCCATCCCCATGTTTGATGCTCATCCAACATGTTTCAAGTCCAAGTGACTGTCCAAGTGGCTATATCCCGTCAACAATCACCAGAATATTTCTGGTTGGTGGTTTCAACCCCTTTGAAAAATAGTAGTCAGTTGGGATTACTATTCCCAATATATGGAAAAATAAAAAATGTTCCAAACCACCAAGCAGTGATGGTTAAACCACCATAGAACTGATGTTTAGATCTACCATAAACCTCGCAGAACAACCCTTGTTGGACTGGAAATGCACCAACTTAGCTAACGAACTGGGGCACCAGCCTGCACTGAAGAAGTCACCAAGTTGATGGTGATGGTCAAGCCCCAGTTCTTAAATTCTTAAATCCTCTTTTCTTTGGATAAAGCTCACTAGTATCCTATATTATTTGCACATCCAAAATCCAGTCCAAACATATTTCCATGAACAATCATCTCACATGATATACACCCCAAAATCACCACAATTGAATGGTATAAACACTCCCTAAACTGTAGCTTAATTCTTAGCATGAATAGTTATTAATCCTCTATATATGCCTTGAGATCAGTGCATTAATACATTATCAACAAGAATCACCATTTCAACACTATTATATATATTGATATCATCATTCATGAACAATCATCCCAATCCAAACTCTTGATGGTGTTAACGTCCGATTTTTTAATGGTGACATTCATTTTTTTGGTTAAATCTCACATATCGATAGTAAATCATCCCCAAATTCACCATGTTTGTGGGTGGTTTTTTAACCATCCCAAATGGTAGCTTAATTCTTGGGGTCCCCACAATCTCAATTCAAGTTGTTGATGGTGTTGACCCAGCTTATGGTGGAATCCCAATTTCCTTTGGTTGTATAAATCCCACATTATCCCATTGCTTCAAGTCGCAAAGGCATGAAGGGAATGATGGCTAGGCCCACTGCGCTGGGCCCATAGCGTGCCACGCGCGGCACTCTGGCGAAGCGGGGCTGGTCGAAGAAGTGCTGCGACTGGTGGACGCAGCTGTGGATGATCACCTAAGCGGAAGAGGAACATATATCTACACGTTGATCATCCCATTGACCAAAACTTACCCTCTGGTTATAACTAACATAGCCATGGTATAGATGGCCCATAGAAATAGATGATTTTCCCAGCTAGAAACCTCCATTTAGTTCAGGGATTTTCCATGGCTATGTTAAATAACCAGATGGTAAGTCATAAATGTTCATAATGAGTAAATTCTGATAGTTCACTACCCCAAAATAAGGCAATTTTTAAACGTTGGCTCGTTGCTACCCCTCAGTGAAATTTTGGGCCATTTGCGGATGATTCCCCGCAATCTACCCATGATTCCAGTGAGGTCACAAGGATCCCCAAGTCACCATGGGTTTCAATACGGAAACTTGGATGATTTGAGCGTACCCAAATTTTAAGACTTTTTAAGAAACCTTCCTTCATAAACTTATTGACCGTGGATGGAAATACAACTAATACAATGGGGAATTCTGGGGATATAATAGGATGCTTTACCCGAAAATCGCCTGTAAGTGGTGGATTTTCATTGATTTTCTATTGCCATGTTTTATTACCGGAGGGTATTGACCATGGTGATACTGTCTATGTTACTTTGGTTTTAAACAGTTAATACATATACGTTAATGGTTGATAATGCTGATTAATCTAAAACAAGTGTTGCAGTATGGGGTTTAACATGCTTTTAACATGTCTAACCAAGGTCTAATAGCAACAATATATGATTCTGGACGGATTTATTAACTAGACTATATATATATATATACACATGGTTTATTTAAAACAAATATATATATATATATATCAATGGGTTTATATAACTGAAACTTGGGTTTAACCAAGAACTGTGCTTTAATCACATAGCTTTTACAATTGAAAAATAGGCTCCTCCTGCAGATTGATTGTCCCTTTCTAAATGGTGGTTTTATCATGAGAAAACGATTTTAATACAATTTTTAACGAACTATCCCCATGATACCACTCTAATATCCATCTACCCCACATGTTGCTTTTTTCCTGGCGAATCCAGCCATGTTTCCCCACGTTTTTTTTCAGGCCACCGCAGGCAACGCCAGGGACGCCACAGTCTGAAAGGTGGCGGTGTGGACGCAGGCGGCGGCCACCTGCTCACGACTTGCTGTTGCCGGCGGTACCCGGCCAAACCAGTGTCGGCCAGGACGTAGGCCTGGATAGGAGCGACTGCGGCAGTTGAGGTTCATCATATGATAGCTATAGCATGTTCTAGTTGTAGTTTATCATAAGATAAAAAATAAAGTAAATATATTGTAAGTAAGTAAATAGTTAGGATGTTATGGGATGTTAGTTGGGGGGCTATATCCCCCCACTTAAAGCATAGGACTAGGATGTTTTTTTTGATGTGGATTAGGGGCTACATCCACTGATAACCTCATCTAGGATCATCCCAGTTTCCACTGGTTACTGGTGAAGTCCCCAATTCCTAGGCTGGGGAAACTAAACTTAAACCCACTAAACAGCTATGATTCGTGGGATATCGTGATGATAGATCATAGTTACAGTTTTAGGGAGTTATAGAGGCTATATCCCAACTTAGGGGGGTTATTGCAATGGGTATATATACTCATTGATAACATCCTTTGCACCCCCAAGTATAGGTTGCCCAGGTGTTTTTTCAACATGTTTTCAATTCAATACAGTGACAGTAAATGTTCGGACATGAGTTTGTGTATTTTGCTGTTGTTTCAATTTGATCAGGCATCTAGTACATTCAAATGGATCATAAATTCTGCACTTTTTTTTTGCGATTATGATAATCCCCTTGACAAAAAACCCTATAGATTAGATGGGTTGCAACAATGTGTGGAATCTTGGGGAGCATTGATCTGGACTTTTTTCAGGACATTTCACTCTCTTCTGGTGATCAAACTCTCTGGCTAGGATCGTCGCCCTCCTTGTTTTGATCCATGTTCTTGTTAGATTTCTTGTACTTGATCCATGCCACATGTAAGTATAAATGCGTGTATATATATATATTTATCATATGTACTTCCCAAACAGTAACCAAGTAAATCAACTCATCAATGACAACACGCAGCAAGGTGCAACAACGAATGCGGTTGGCCATTAGGGTCACCAGGTCACTCCAGCAATGCCATAGCTCAAGTTCACCTGCCAGGGCTTAATGACCTGCAGCGCCCCGAATCTGGAGATCCTTGGGATTAACTGAGACTTTTCCAGGACTTTGTAGGATGTTGATGTTTTTTTTGGGGATGGTGATTTTACATGTGATCAACTGTGTGGGCTCTGATAGAAACTATAAGATTCTGGGAAATAATAACTGGGCTAGATACAGAAATAGTCCATGAAATACAACATATCTCATTCTTTTTTGGGGTTATGAGTTATGAATTGTAAATTACATATAGGTTAAATTGCTAACAATTTGCTGAAAGGACATAGACATGAGGTTTTCGGGTATTCAACCAACAAGAATGATCCTTGACCACTTGAGATTTGAGCAACCCAAATTGGGTTTTAATCAGTACCAGTACAGTAGCGAGGGGGGGCTGATGCCTTGAACGGGTTTAATCGGCAATCCTCACTCCATATTCAACATAGATCAAAATAAAGCATTGTTAACAGAAAATTCTATATATATATATCATATGTTGCATTTCCATGTTTTGTTGGTTTAATAATCCCAATGCATGGTCGGGGTCAACCTCTCCCATGTTGGTCGATTAAATCCCCAATATGTTTTTTCTTTTGGTTGCCGAAATTCCTATTTGGGTTGGTTGAATCCTCTCCCCATTGGTTGGCTAAGCCCCCGGCTTTGATGGTTAAATTTCAATCGTGGATAAGTTAAAACATCTGTTAAATGCGCATGTTGGAATCCTAATTTTCCAGGCTACCCCCCAGAAATTGTCCAGTTGCTATGGAAAGGTGACCAGTTAGTTTGATGATTTTTTACACACAAAAAACCCGTGATTTTCCATGAACATACCAAGTTTGTGATATATCCCATCAACAATGCCCATTCAACCCCTTAGTAAAACCATACGGTTGATGGTTAAACCACCATTTTGAATGCTTCAATCGCCAATGTTAATAGTTCTGTTGGTGAAATCACCCATTTTCGATGGTGATTTCAATAGCCGATCCATCTGGCCACCAGGTCGCAGGGCGAAGGGATTCGCCCACGTCGCTGGAATAGGCGATGTATCGGTGGGAGCTGAGTAGCAGTCGCTTGGCCCGCGCCACGTAGGGAAGATATCCTCAGCGTATGGCAGTGGCTAGTGGCGAGTATTGGTTAATATTGGTTAGTATTGATTAGTTCCCTGAATCATCGATAAATTATGGATATACCCTCAAGTTTGGCTATGGGACAGTAATGGACAGTAGCTCAACTGAAATGGTTCCCTTCCCCCATTTCTGATAAGGCAGTGAAGTGCTAATAGTTTGCATTCTGAAGCAATTTGTGAACTAACCACACCTAACCACTAACACTAACCAATGGTGAGTGGTTAGTGCAATCCGGCCTGGACCTTTTTGGCATCTTTCGATTCTCGGATGGGTTCAGAAATCGACATCAATGGAGATGTTTTCGATTCGGAAGGGGGTCAGCACGACAAATTTGAAGATCATTTCATACCTACGGCTTTGGACATGACCCATCCCCAAATCCACAATTTTGATGCTTTCAATTCCAACTGGTTGGTGGTTTCAACCCCTCTAAAAAATATGAAAGTCAATGGGAAGATTATCCCATATATTATGGAAAATAAAAAATGTTTGAAACCACCAACCAGCCAATTATTGATCCAAAAAAAAATGCTGCAGTGGTTGAATGGAATCAATTCCCGCATGTTTTTTTTTGAAACTCCTTCGTTCGGTCACAGCGTCGCAAGGCTGTCTCCTCCAATTCTTTGGAAATGACCTGGCATTTGTAAAAACCAGCAAAAATGGTGGCTGAAGGACCATTGAAAATGGGATGGTTCAACTAGGAAATCATAAGGATTGTGGCAGTGGGGATATGTGGTGTCGTAATCAAACCACTGCGATGCCAAATCTCGCAGATCGGATTTGCCAAACTAGAAATGGGTGACATTTCCATTGCCTCTAGGAGTTACTGAGAAGTCAAGCACTGGACCATACTGGAAGCAAGGGGCTTTTCGCCATTTTCCAAGGGCCATTGATATGGTAGGTACATTTAAACAACATGAGGTGTCTAACAATGGGGGATGACAAAACCACCATAATCATTGCATTTTTTGGGGGGGAAACCGATGATGAAACACTGGATTTTGAGGGATCATATTTTAAGGCAAAGCCATATGACTTAGACATCACAGGTAACCTAGGTAAGCTATCCTGACCTCTCCCGGAGGCTAGCTTCCCAGCTTTCGTCTTGGCTGATCCCATGTTTTTTTTGATTGGTTCTGTTCCTCATCTTGCCTAACCTTAACCTTATTCATCCTCTGTTAAAGAAAAAACAATCTTCACCAGGAGAGTACATATCCATCCATGCCTGAAAAATAAAACCAAACAAAGAACCCTGTTCTTGGTTTTGGTCATTCAGTGAGGTTGCGACATAGTCTAGCCAGAATCATATGTTCCTTTTTTGGTTGGTTAAAATCCAGATTCTTTGGGTAAAGCACAGTCTTTGGATTGGTGCACCCTCAATGTGTCACCTTTAGAAGCATTTGAGTAACACCTGCTGCAATTTACAATGACAAAATAAACTGCTGCTGATCACCTCGGCCTTGCTGTCGCCCGTGAAGAAATTGGCCTGGCAAAGAATTGGCACCTGGTCGCGAGGTGAGGCTGTGTCCATGGTGGGGACACCTTTTCACAGGGCCCCAAAACAGCAGATATACTGTGTATATAATATATATATATACATACACATATTTACATGTATATATGACCCAGGACTCCCAAGCCGTATGTGCGTTGGTTACGTGTGTATGTGCGTGTGTATGTAGGTACGTAGGTACGTAGGTACGTAGGTATGTAGGTATGTAGGTATGTAGGTAGGTAGGTAGATAGGTATGTATGTCTGTCTGTGTGTGTGTGTCTGTATGTATGTATGTATGGATGGATGGATGCATGGATGCATGTATGTATGTATGGTCCCGTGTCCCGTGTTCCCGAGAGCGTGAGCTTGGGGGACCATACCATTGGGGGGGCGGGGGGCCAGGGATCCGGAGTCCGGACTCATATATATATATAAATATATAAATATATAAATAAATATATAAATATATATATAATTATATATACATACATCCCCAGATATATCCAGATATCCAGATATGTTTGGGTAAATTTGATCAATTGCCTAAATTAGAGGTCAAAATCGCCCATGTCCTCCCCTTATTGGAACATCTTAGCTGTAGCAGTAGTCCCATGGAGTTGCTGACAGCGACGGCGGCAAGCGAAAAATGGGTGATGCATCCACCAAGAGAAAAAACATCAAGCCGTAACATGGCTGTGTTTTTTCAAAAGCCACTCAGATTCTGGGGTATACTGATATTCTTGAGCCATGGTCGTTTACGATCTGACAATCTTCCAACATCAAACGTCATGGTGATGTCAAGAGTGGTGCGTCACTAGAATGAGATCACCAACTTCAATCAAACAACTTTTCCTTTGACACCAGTTCAACTTGTTCCCGTTTCGGCTTTGGCATTCCTTCAAATTTAATTCTGAACAGTAAAACCAAACACGTACTATATGGGGATGGGTCAATACCTATAGATACATTTTTAGTGGGATGAACATCCATTTACCAGCTATTTTGGGGTTCACTAGGTACCAGGGTTTTGACCCATCCCCATATCTATACGGTACATGGCCTGAGCTTTGAACGCAGCTGGATGCAGAAGCAACCTGAGAGCTGCATGAGTAGCGCAGCTGTAGAGCTAGGTGCATGGTCAAAACCCAGTGAATTCGAATTTCATCCTTTTTTAATCCTACCAACTATGTACCTGACTATACAATCCTTGGCATGTACCCACCGAACAAAAAACACGATAGTATATGATAGCATTTACTGTTTAACAAAAACTCTCAGATTGAGAAGCATGATGTTTGTACTATTTGGATCTGGGTGTTTACTATTCAAATAATACTCAAACACATGAGAATTACTATTCAACACATGATTGAAAACACCAAGGGAGAGTTTTGGGAAGTCGCCAGGATTCTAAGACTGGTACCGGCATGGTGTGTATATGATGTCATATATGATATCCGATAGAACACCACCAAGTCTCTGGGGTGGCAATGACTACACTGAATTCGGTAGTGTGTATATATATATATATAATACACACATATATATATATATATATATATGTATTATATATATATATAATAAGCTAAAGATGCACAATGTATACATATGTATACTCTCTCTCTCTCTATCTCCATCTATCCTTGGTACCCAGTTTTTCTGCAGATCCAGGAACCAAGGTGGCCGTGGGCCCCGCTTCAGCTCCATCTGTCTGGACTCGCCGCAATGTGCCATGGGCTGATCACCAAAACAACGACTGGGCTGATTTCTTGGCGGTTCCTTAAAATGAGGGATCAACAAAAATCACCAAAACCATTGGGTTTCAATATATATGTCTTAATGCCTCAATGATCCCAAAATTGTCGAATATGTGAATGTGTATCTAATTTTCTGAAAGATCTGGAAGTCATTGGAAGTAACTGTTGCATAGTTTTGCCTCAAATGAAGACAAACCAAGTCTGCATTGTTTCCAACATGTGTTTACTTTCTTCTTTCAGCAGTGGAAAAATCGCATGACGTTGCATCCCAAGTTGGACATGTTCCATTTCGATTTTGAACATGCTCCAGTTTTACTCAAAAGATACTCCGGTATTCTAAATTCAGCTGCAATATCCATTTGCTGCATATGAAACGGCTTGGATGCTGACAAGCTGCGGATATTCACAGGCAAATGTTGGTCAAACGTGCTTGGGATGAAAACTGTCAAACCAACCGCTGGATGAACAAATGACACACTGCTAGGTATCAACATCTTTTCTTTACCTTTACCTTTGAATCACCGCCTACAGTAAACCTGTTCTCGCAAAATGGTACATGTCATCTTTATTCTTTCCCGTTCATGACTTCCTCAACGGTCACAGGATATACTGGAATACGAACTGCCAGGCCCTCCAATTGCCCGGCCCGGTATGACACCCCGCGATCCAGAAACGATGAGGAAAATGTGGCGGTTGAGTTGGATGTTCCAAGCATTGGAAAGACACCCCGAGGCTTTGTCTGAAAGTTTTGGAGGAACGAACCAGCCTCGAATTGTTACAGCTTGGCCGTCCAAGTACTAAGCTTGTATATCCTGAAGTGTGGCTAGGTAACAGGTCCGAGTTTCAAATATTTAGACACACATCATATCAAGTTGTATACCCCATTCTATAAATTCATATTAACTATATATATATGTATATATATATCATTATATATCCTCCCCATATCCCATGACATCCCCATTCTATCCCCATATCAGAGGTTAAAATCTCCCATTTCTCATGGCCTAGCACTTTGCCGTTGCGGCGTTCGCAGAGGCAACACCTCTGGCGACGTTTGGCTCAACATGTCACCTTTCGGTAGGTGCAGTGGGACATCCCCAAACTAAATGAATATTTAAATGGATCTACCCTCCAGTAAATTATATAACATAGACATAGACCCTGAACATCATCTTTTTTTTTGAACAGAATCTTCCAACCCCCTATTGGCAGGGTCTATGTTAATTTACCAGAGGGGTAAATGGGAAAATCATCTGTAAATTGTCTTTAAAATTGTGGATGGTTGATTGCCATGATTACCGGAGCGTAAGTCTGAAAGAACCGTTAAGAAAACTTAGATATTTTAATTATAATTCATTTCAATGGAGGGAATTAAATGAAACAAATGAGCAAACTTAAGATGTAAATTCAAGTACCCAACATTCTGAGTTGGGTTGGTCGATGGACGTTTCTAATCAACTATGGCAAATGTATTCAGAGCTCGACCATCTAGGTTGCTGTATGCAGATTGACAAATCTCTGATCAGACAGGCAGTTCCAATCTCACACCATTCGAATGGTCGTCGTTTTCCGGAGCATGACCCCAAAACGTTGAAACAGCAATAGCATTCAATGGATTTCAAGGGGAATTCTACCTTAACATAAAAAAATACGGCCCATCACTGATTCAATTGGACCACGTCATCTAGTCGTAGCATCTTCCCGACACCATGTTGAGCTTATCTGCCAAATCACCTGAAACCGCCAGATACCCAGAAAAAGGAGGATTCTCGGCAGGTCAGCGCATGCAACTCGAGTTCCAGGCTAAAACATGCTAAATAAATATAAATATATATATATATACTGCAGGGTCTGCAAAGGTCTGCCGATGTCCATGAGATAGTTCAAGCATCGGCCCAAAAATTGCAAACAAAAAGCAAAGCAAGAAAAACAGTTACGTTGAGATATCCCCCCCTCTGGCATCAATACAAAAGTTGCACCCTGAAAATGCAACAACCAAGCCACACATCACCTTTAGCGCTTATGTAACCCTCTGAGATCCCGCACAAACAACCATAAAGGCACAGGCCGCAGCGTTGACAGCACGCCAGACAAGGCCTGTTGTTGCTGGGAGACGACGAGAAAACCGAAGATGTGTGAGGGTAGGAAACACATTGCGCATGGAGTGTTTTTTCATGTAAAATATATAAACACGTATTTCATGTCTGTATATATATATATCATACACAACATTACACAATCACAACAATGTCTATATATAAAATTATATAACCACCAAACAAATAGAACATGAACATGCTACTAAAGTAGTTTCAATTTACGTTTCCATTGCTAAGCAAGTTCATGGAGCTGGTGGACCCCACATTTGGGTCAGAAAACCATGGCTGTTAGCAAAAAAAATCAAGGATTCCGATGGTTTCCTGTAATGTTTCCCTTTTGGGTAACGTTTCCTTCGTGAAAACTCCTTGAGTCCTGTTTCAGATCTTGAATTTTGACTCACAAATGTTTGTGGGGTTTGCCATTTCAGCCATTGAACCACAACAAACCGACCAGCCCGGACGCTGGAATGCATGGAATGAAAATGAATGAAAACACCTTGGTATTTTCACGAATGAAAACAAACAAACTTAAATAGCAGCTGCCATGGCTTCTTTTAGCCCTTTGCCCGACTTGGAGATCTTGAAGCAACTTAGAATTGGGATGAAGAGCCAACATGAAAAGGAATTTCCATGGATTTTCCACCATTTGCGAGCATCAATGCCATACACCGCTATTTTTTGGATGGTTCACCATTTGGTGTGTCAGACTCAGTGAGTCGCAGTCCTGGACAAGTAGCGCATCAACAGGGCGCAAAATCCCAGGGCAATCTGCAGCAACACCACGTCGACCTGCGATGTAAAGGTGGCATGTCTTACCCTTTTTGAATAGGGCCGTTGTGGTTTGCACTGTATCCATTTACTGTTCTGGAAAGATTCCAACACTTAGCATCGTCTGATTCATTCTACAGGCATTTTGTTCGAGAAAATAGGGCTGAAGGCCGTTGGAGTTTTGAGGGTTATGAGCCCAAACCTAACAGGGTGAGGGCCATAGGATTTCATGGAGCGGTCCCAATCTTTGCCGTCAAAGGGACATGGTGGTTCTACTTGGGATGGGGCTGGAAATCCATGGTACTCAGAACGAGCGCAAAATGAATGCCTCTTAGCAACCAACAGACCTAGAGATTTACCTCTGGATTTTGGAATGGGCGCTGATGGGGAACCTATCGAAGATGGCACTTCTGGTTTGGGATTACTACCCCCTATGCAGTTCGGCGTAACTGGGAAGGGTCGTGGCAGCAGCGCAGTGGAGATGCTGAACGCTGGGCCTTTGAGACCTACAGTGGAGCGAAAGCCGAAGCAGTCAGAGGGTGTGATGCCTGGAGAACCTGAAGGGAGGACGATGGGCCCTGTTGGAACCCCAAAAGAATCTGGATCCAATTCCAATGACTTGCAAAGAGCATTGGAGGGGGAGTTGGTAGATTTTTTACGTCGTCAGAATTCGAAGCTACAAAGTGAAGTAGCAGCTCTCAGAGATAGGCTGGAGAAGTCTTCGGGAATGGGGTCATCACCATGGTCTGCAGTGGACGGGGTTGATTCAATGGAGGCATTTCAACACCATGGACGTCAAGGTAGGCATGGTAGTAGAACCCCCCGAACAAAACTTAGACAGATGGCAGTGAGTCCTGAGAGAAAGGTGACCAAGCAGAATGGTTTGAGGTATACCCCCAATGGCACAAGGGTCCCGGATGGTCCTCCGCCTGTTGCGGACGATGAGAAGCCTCTGCCACCGGTGCCGCCCTTTCCAGAGCAGGTGAGAAATGCGGGGGAACCTCAACAGACCAGTTTTGTGAGTGGTTGCAATGATGGGTTGGATATCTACGACACATGTGAGTCCAAACCAAAGGTGAAAAACGGAGACATGGCATGGAAACCAACAGCTGAAAAGGATGGCCCTTTGTCTGCTAGTGAAGCGAAGCAGGTGTGGCTAGAACGTGAAGTTAGGTCACTGAAGGTTGCTCTTGACAGGGTAGCCATCCCCCAAGCAGTGCAACAGTCTGGATACTGGGGTTCTGGTTTCGACTGTGGGGATCATCCCAAGCATGTTGGTTTGGATGTTTTTGGACATCATCATGCGAGCCGGCCTCATGATCGGGCACAGCATGGTGGAAGCGGTGAACCTGCCCTACAAGGTCGGGCTCAGCATGGAAGTGGAGTGCAGGACCTTCGAGATCGGGCTGCAGCGTTTTGCAATGGCCTACATGGGCGTGATTGGGCTTTGGATGTGCACGGTGCTCATCAAGAACAAGGCCGGGCTCTGTTGGAGCATGGTCTTCACCTTGAACAAGGTCGGGCGTCTTTGGAGCATGGAGTTCTTCCTAGACAAGCTCGGGCTTTCTTTGAGCATGGGGAACATCATGGACACGCTCGGGCTCCTTCTGTGCATGGTGAACATCATGGACACGCTCGGGCTTCTTTTGGGCACGGTGATCATCCTGGCCAAGCTCGGGCTTCTGATGAGCATGGACCTCTTTTTGACCAAGATCGGGCTTTTGCATCGCGACGTGAACTTCCAGGCGACGGTCGGGCTTGCACTACGCATGGTGGTGAGTGGGGACCATTTGACTGTGGACCCGGACGCTCTTGTGACCTTCCACGGCATGATGTGGGGGGAGGTGGAGTGGGAGATGGAAAGTTTTTTGGGCGCACCTATGGCCCATGGTCGGAGGGCTCAGGATCCATGAACACAAAAGGAGAGCTACCTGATTTGCCCTCTGACTCGTCTCCTTTGCAATTTGGAGATTGGTTGCACTTGATCACACCGATCATGAAGGACATCAGTGCCTCTGCTGGATGGTGGTGGGAATCAACTATGCGCGAAGCCAAGGGATTCTACGAGGAGTGGCGCCGAAGCTCACCTCTACAACGGATCCAAATC